GAAAATGATGTGCACTGGCTGCCTGGCCTCCCACTCGATCCAACTCAATGTCATTGCGAGAGTTTGGATCATCTACTTATGGTTGTCACTCTGCACAGATACCCCCTCTCCATTATTACCATTTTGCTCATCGAACGTCACAAGTTCCTTTGTTGTGGAACACAGCTAATATCGCATTAGTCAACACTGGTTCTGCAGAATTGCAGGCAACACTGGGTTGCCCCACCCACCCACGCACCCCACTTGCTCCTTGTGCCCCTGCTCCCTACCATTGTCTCTTTCTTTTTCTTCTTCTACTCTTGTTTTCTTCCTTTCATTCTTTCTCTGCTCTTTCCCTCTCTTCACTTCTCTTCTCTGCTCTTCTCTTTCTGATGGGGAGATGGGGAATGCAACACACACTAAAGTTCGGTGCTTTCCTCATCAGGTCGGTTGAAATTAAAGCATCCCCGTCCCTTGTTCAGTGCTCTCCATACCAACTGCTGCTGCAAGAATGTGGCAATTTTCCAGAGCCCCCCACCTACTGCTTGCAAGAAGCTTAATTGTTGGGAAAGCATGATCTTTAAACTAAGGCTGTTTTATTTATATGAATCCCACAATCAATTTGTGATGAATATTGAGAACTTGAACTGTTACCAAAATTGTTTTGGTATATGCTTGTATATGATTGTTGGATGCTTAAGGTTGTTAGATGTCTTTGTGGTGTAGTAAGACATTCTATGTTGTAGAAAATCCACCTGTAGCAACATTCCTAAAGATAAAGTTGCAATTCCTCTGCTACTTGTTAGGAGGAGTATCCTATTTGTTATTCTCAAAGCTAATGGACATACAAGTTCCACAAATGCTTATTCAATGATTTGACTGCATGTATGTAAGATGTTATAGTAACTAACACTTGCTAAAGACACATGTAACAACATTAATTTTGTTATTAGAATCAATATGTAATAACAATAAAAGCTTTAGCTAATCTTCTATTTAAGGATTACATTAAGTACCAGATAGAAATGGTGGTTTTTTATTTTATGCATTATTAAATAGAACTAAAAAAAAATAGAAGAAGATGCAACTTGTGTAGGATGTGTAGTATCAACCAATTCTCGACATTTTGCAACTATTAGAATTGTTGGACTTATTTGCATCTATATATATATATATAGTTATTTGTTTATTTATTCGTTTATGTAATAATAAGTTTCCTTCATAGAAAGTAGTATCATTTGGTTGCTTTAGTAATGTGAAATCTGTTTCTTAGTCACTAAGAAAGTATTAGTATAACTACTTTATGTAGTACATTTTGTAGAATAATATTGTTATTAAGTACAATTGGAATACTTAATATGGTGATACTATTCTAAAATCTTAGATATGACTAGAACTAAGACTTTACCATCTATAAAGCAATGTCAATTTACAAAAAAATATTATAATTCTAAGATGTATTGAGATATTAAATAAAGATGAACTATTAATTGAATGTTGATTTTATTTATATAGAGCACATAGAAGGTTTTTAGCACTTGAGTGTTGTTATAGATCACATTTACACTAATAAAAGTTTTGAATTTATAATTTAAATTATAAATTAGAGATAAAAATTAATATTTATCTTATTTTCTTTAGTAATTTTTTTTAATTTTAAACTATTTGTTAACTTTTTGGATAATGTTTTAGTATTAAACTCTATTTTTTATACTTTTTGATTTAATAATCAAATTTATCACTTTTTAGGCAATTTACTCATGAATATTATAATTTTAGAAGCTTATACATTTGATTAAGTAAACTAGATTTTTAAAAGATGTCAACTGAAATTAATACAATTGACATTTATTTGTTAATCTTTAATATTTGTGTCATATTAAAGCATAAGTCAAACATTTATCACATAGATCTTGTATAAGGACAAGTATTTTGTATATTGTATTGTGGTGTATGTATAGAGATATTTATTTTTTGTGATGTCAAGTGTACATTTATAAATGGGAGATGCATTTTCAAATACAAACCGTATGCTCTGAAATAAACTATGTGTAACACTAGGTGTAGATTAATTTGGATCATGTTGCATATTTGCAAACCAAAAGTTTGCCAACAATGATTTCAAAATATATCATGCTGAAATTTGTAAAAAGGTTAGAAAATCCAAGACGATTCAAGTAAAACCTAGTGCAAGATTCTAGATTTGAGTATTTCAAAATCAAAATCATGAAGGAAAACAAATTACAAAGTTATCAGATTTGTTATTAAATTACTCATGCAATAATAAATAGAAAGAATCTGTTATTTCTCAAAGAGTAACTTGTCATCAATCTAGTATTACGGGTACAATTTAATATTATTCAGCATGTATCTGAGAAAGCAACTAAAAGTTGGAATCCTGAAGATTCCATGAAACATTAGAATGGCCGTACGGGAACACAGAGCTGGTACGCAATTATACTTCGATAATACATCAAATCAGGGTAGTGTAGATTGTTGATTTCAGAGTGCTCTTAGTCAGTTGTGTTGGTTTTGAGTAGTGATTACCCGTGAAATTAAAAATTAAATCATTATCTTACTCATTTTATCATTCAGTAAGCAAGCAGAATTATATAATGTGAACGTTTACATCAGATTGAGAAAAAAGTTACAGCTTTCTTGTGTCTAGATTTGAAGGTAAATAATTGGTTCTCCACATTGTGAGCAATTTGAAACTCTTAAATTTTGTTTTTTAAATGGAATGTAGACTATTGTGAATACCACTTTACTAGTAAATCGTACAAAAACAAACAGCAGAGATGAACGTTAGGAGTTATATTATTTGGCCACCCTGCACAAATCCATTATTGTGCCACATACCCAAAAGAGAGGACTGAACACAAAAGAATGATTCCTATAGAACTGAGAAGTCACAAGAAGCATGGCTTCCAAAGACCATATCCCAACTGCGGATGTTCCTGGAATAGCCTTCTACTGTACTCATATGCTGACATGTAGAACTGACAAATAAGATTCAGCTCTTTACGTTCTAAATTAAATTTTCGCTAACTGTGACGCAAAAATACCACCAATTCCAGAAACTAGGTTCTGTGTTGGTGCATCCGTGTCATCTTACAGCCTCAATACAAAGTAACCATTTCCTACTCTAAAACTACAACACCAGCATTTCCTGGGCCATGTGACAAAACGCTACTAAAACCTGACCACTTGGTATTCTGGAAACATAAATGATCCTCAGAGTGATTACTTGAGGTTGGCCTCAATTATCTCCCGGTACTCCTTTTTCATTTTAACACCCGATATACTCCTGCACACAGAACACTCCAACCTGTTACTAACCATAGCCACCTGTGCCAGATGGAAAAAAGAAACTTTGCTACGAGTTAAATTCGCCATCGCTGGGGGTAATTTAAACGTAAGTAACGTATGATAAGAAAAAATATTCAATGCAGAAAGTTAGAAAAAATAAGGTGGTGAGAAAAGAAATAAATAAACAATGAAAGAGGTGTATCAAAAGCGTACTTAATCATTTGCTTATTTTTGAAGAACTGAACTGTGGGTGTGCCCATGATACCACCAGCTTCAGCGATTTCAGGGTCCTCCTCAATGTCTATCTCCACGAAGTGAACCTCGTTTGGATACTCGTCAATCACCTGCAATTTGAAAGTTTATGAAATCTTGAACTCACGAAGATCAACTCTCTGGAGTTCTACGAACAGCTTGCTTATACATTCTAAACCAACCAGCTCATTACAATATGAAATTAAATAAGACTTCCGACTGCTTGGATTTCTACATGATTATTACTGCAGTTATGCGATCGATAATTCTGCTACTCCCTACAACAATAAGACTACTGCACACCCTGCAACTTAAAATTCCAAAGTATGATACCTTGTTCAAAATTGGCTTCAGAGATCTGCATGGCCCGCAAGTCGGTGCAGTGTAAAGTACACCAATCACGCGGGGACTCTCATGGTAAAGCTTTCGAAGCGCATACTGCATTCATACACCCACGAACAGATTACCCACATGCATCATCTCAACCCAACATACGTTGTAATTTCTCCATGTAAATTGTTGCTATCTAGCGGCAACTAAATCGGCAAATTAACAAAAGACCCATATGACTACTTTAAACTCATCCAGCCGCAAGGCAATACAAAGATCCGATCAAGCAATAGTACCTGGCCTTTGTGTTTCGTCATTGTTATGTCAAATTTCTGGTCGATATCCTCCTTCGTAAGCTCTTTCTTCTTGACTTCCTCCTGAGCAGGCTGGCATTCCAAGGTTGCATGGTTATGCTTCAGTCCAAAGTAAATCCCTTACAAGAGAAAAAGACTAGTACTATTACTATGATGAAAAGTGCGTACCTAAACAACAGAATAAAGTGACAATCACAGTCAAAACCAATATTGGACAAGTCCAACCGTATAGAACAAAAAAAGAGACATAGAGGCCTAGACATAAGCAGGGGTGCATACTTGGTGGAACTCCACAAGGAGGTCATTAGCAGCGAGATATCGTTCAACAGACAATGCTGCCATACAACCTGATCCAGCAGCTGTGATGGCTTGTCTCCACTCATGATCCTAGTGCATCAAATAGCATTACAATATCATAAGAGAATTTAGAGTGCACACAAATATGTTGAATTCACATCCAAACTACATCATCTTACTCAATATCAAAGAGATTGCGGAACTGAAGAGTGGCGAATAATTTAATACTCAACCAGATAGACTAGGTAACAACGAATGCTAACACACACGAAGCACAGACTGGTAGTGTTCTGATAAAGAAATTCAACAAGCTGCAAGCTAATAGAGTACCTGAAGGTCTCCAGCAGCATAAACTCCCTCTACTGATGTATTGGTCGTTCCAGGCTCAACAACCACGTAACTGGCGTCATCAAGCTCAACCTGGCCTTCCAAGAGCTGACTATTCGGGCTGTGTCCGATGCCGTAAAACAGTCCTCGGACTTTCAATGATCTCCCTTCGCCAGTAACCAGATCTCGAAGCCTGAGTCCTCCCATTTGTCCTTTATCATCAGCCTCGATATCCACTGTCTCTGTGTTGAAGTGGACAGTAATATTTGGATTATTGATAACTCTGAAATTCCATAACAAGAACGTTCATCAGGAAAAAAAATAAACATCCACAACGATCCGCAAGTACATCCTTATTGTTCAGGAAACATAACAAATCACCGAAAAGATAATTGATCTAAGAAATAAAACGTAGGGTTACCAGATCTGCCTAAAGTTTGTTTCGAAGTTCTAACAGTTTCAATGCATGAGAACCATACCTGTCTTGCATAGCTTTCGAGGCGCGGAGTTTATCTTTTCGAACCAATAGATGAACATGAGCAGCATACTTTGTCAAATACAGGGATTCTTCCGTTGCAGTGTCACCTCCGCCCACCACTGCTAGCTCTTGACCTTTAAAAATAGGAGATGCACCATCGCAGATTGCACAAGCGCTGATACCCCTGCTCCAGAATTCATGCTCTCGAGGCAATCCAAGTCGTTTAGCTGTGGCACCCGTCGCAATGATTATGCTGTGACACTTAACCTGAAACCCAACTGCTAAAGACTCTTAGCATTTATTTCTGAATGACACACTACACATGATAAACAATAACCGTTCAATTACATGTTCACTGAAGGCCTTCAATGACTCTGGAACAACTCAACGATTAAATAAAAATAAAGATGAGCAACAAAGAGAGAAGTGCAACACAGATATAGATGACACACGAAGCCAACAATGAGAATCAGCCCATTTGCTCAACTTCCACGTAAATTCTCAAATGAAACTCATTATCTCAGTGCAGACAATCATTTAGTCACAAGTCACAATCTAAGCAGCACCAAGTTTGATTTAGAAGCACCTCACTATCACTACTTCGGACTGTGAAAGGTCGATTTCGAACATCCACATACTCTACATCCTCCGTTCTTAATTCCGCACCCCATCGCTCAGCTTGCTTTCTCATCCTGCACCCACATAGCTCAGCTGACGAAACTTTTTCGGGTTCACATGTACATCGGAGGAAACCTACACAATCCTCAAAGGTGTGTGCATTGACAAAAGGGGATTGGTTAACTCAGAAAACAGAGGAAAGAAGAGTGACTCTCACAAGAGTACGTGTCTAGAAGAACTCTGAAAAGGACACTGAAGAAACTATGCTAGACAAGATGAAAAAATCCCTCATGTCTAAGAAGAGCAACTTAGTGCGGGTTGACATCAAAATTAGAACAGAACAGCAAAATTAGAGAACACAACAGTGGAACGTCGACAAATTTTAATTCCATCCTAGCTAGCGATAGACCCATGTATTTTTCTTCAAATGACACGGATTCCTGTGAACTGGAGTGGAAATATTTCCCCAACTGCGTAAGGGTACAACATATCCCAACAATTTCTCTGGCACCTTGAATCCAACAAAGACAGTGTAGAAGCAATGGATGCACTAATATCGAATTCCTGTATCTCTAATCTTGTATCTCATCGTGAGGAGAGCACCTGTCCATCAATTCGGGTCCAGTAACCCCTTCAGGGAAACCTGGAAAGTTTTCAACTTCGGTGGTTGTCATCAGCTGACCTCCTCGTACTCCTCCAATTTGGTACCCTTCAAAAACTACTGGTTTCAAATTGGCTCTGGCAGCATAAATTGCTGCTGTGTAACCTGCTGGTCCTGAACCAATAATAACTAGGTTCTCCACGCCACCAACCGGCTCTGTATTGAAGTGTACGAAGAGGATAGTGAGCTTTCAAGCAATTAAACCAAACACGAATTAAACTAGCCCAAATCTATGTCAGGCATCCACCAAAACCAACAATTCAACTCCTGAGTTCAGGATAATGTTAGGCAACAGACAAAGCCACGTTCCATCCTACCGAGCCTTAGTTCCACTACGTTTCTTCATTTCTTGACTTGTCCAACAATCACAACCTTAAAAATACCACGTCGACGACAAAGGGCTTAAAGATGAGAAAGCGAGGAACTGCATTGCAACATAAAGTATCGTTTCCAGATTGTCTTATAATCTATTTTTGAGGACTGCACCCAAGATTCACGAATTTGACTACAGCCAGGCAATTTGTTTCAGTGTAGTATGGTACACTACATCGACTACCATTCACGCTCCTAGCTTCAATAGAAGTTAGGCTTCAAGCGCTGCCTCTGAAGACCAGCGACTGGAAATGAATCCCTTAATCTACTGTGGAATTGATGAGGCCAATTGAAGATTACAACCCTGCAGTTGAGTCCTATAGAAGATATTTTGAAAAACTTATCACCAAGTGGGTTAATCCAGGCGAACGTCCCGTTGACCCACAGAAGGGAATCTGGGGTTCTTTTCGTCCTACATTGCCTTCTAAGGAACAACGAACTCCCCCACCCCCAATCAGATCACGCTGCATACTCCAATTCAGCCATTGAGCGGGCACCCAAAAACTCAAACAAACCAATCCCCCAGCTAATCAATTTCTGAACCACGAACACAGCAGCTAAATTGAGGGCCGATTAAACCTGCAGTGCCAGACCGCTTCTCCCCAGCAGCAACGTCCGCACGCGGGACTCCAGCGCTGCGCGCCCCTGTCCTCGAGCTACTCCCCATTCTCTGCCCTGCAACATGCACCCTAAACCTTCTGGCGAATACCCCGGAGGCCAATCCCCTAATGCTGCCCACTCCATCGGACCGAAGAGCGCCATGCTGCCGAAACCCAATCCACGCCTCCGACGACGACGACGACGAAGAGCAGCTACAGAACACAGCTCCAGGCGCGGCGCCACTCGCCCCTCGGGCAACAACACTCCCCCCTGTAATCACCCCCAACGTCGTGCTTGCCCCTGCATAGACAGATGCAGAAGCAGCACACGCCACCATAGCTGCGCCGCGAATTCCCCAATCAATCTCACCAATCCCTACAAACCTCAAGCGACCAAGGCCCAGCAGGAACCCAGAGAATTGCACGCGAGGACTGAGAGCATGCGCAACGAAACAAGCGGGGAATGATGAAGAAGGAGGTGAGAAAATTGGGGAGCAATTGGGCGTAGCGAGGGGAGTAACGATGTTTGCGGTGGATCGTGAGCAAGAACCTTATCCAGCCCAGGGTGGGATGTGAGCGGGGGGTGGGGGAGGGGGCGATGGAAGGGAAGGACGGAGCCAGAGAAAGAGTGGGAGATTTTGGTGCTGTTCGAGAGAATGTCAGATGTTGCGGTGATGATGCATCGACGTATGCCCTCCTATTTTGGATGGTCGCTTTCTTTGCTCTGCTTTGTTTGTTTGTTTGTTTGTTTGTTTATTTGTCATAGAAACCTTCGACGTCGTCGCCCTCTCGCCATAGCCCCGCCTTCCTTCCTTCTTTCCTTCCTTCAGGGCTTTCCCTTGTGCGGCGTAGTTTGCTCTTCGCTTTGCTTGGCTCCGCGCACTCCGTCCCCAACCCCAACCCCGCATCATGCATGCAGGCAGGTCCCTCCCCGCCTCTTCTAGAACCGTCCCCCTGCCACGTCCCCCTGCCACGTCCCCCTGCCTCGCGGTGCCACCGTGGCGGCGCCCCCTTTCGTGTGTGCCAAAGGCTGACGTTGCGCAGGGAACGTGGGGTGGTCTTGTGGACCAGGAATTGGCGCAATCCATATTTTGTCCAATTCTTAACTATTTCAACATCCTCTTGCTCTCTCATCACACACACACACACACACACATTCTTGTGAGACTAACTAACTTACTCTTTTTGATACCTATCTCGATGAGACCCCCCCCCCCCGCCCCCCAAATCAATGCAAAGTCCATTTCCTTTGCAGGGTGTCATTCATTGCAAGCAATCGGCCTTTTCATTTGACAGTGATTCTTGTATTCATATAACGACCACAAGATTTGTACTGGCTCCTGATTTTGTTTAGTTTTTTCTTTAATGGATGAGTGGATTGTTTTTTTCTTTAGGTAATGTGTAGTTGTTCTCATCAAGTATGGTCTCATTACCATATTAAAAATAATGAAAATATTAACATCAAATACTGAATGGTTTTTCAAAATCATGTTGGACATTTTTTTTAAATATATTTTTAATGTAATACTAGTATATTTACATGAAATTCAGTAGTGATTTTTAAAATGATTAAATTTAATGCATGATTACTTCGCATTTTAAAAATTCTATATTTTAAATTTATATATATATATATATATATAAATATAAATATATATATTACAATAAAAAGGATGATAAATTTGATATAAAACAAATTTTTTAAACCTTTTTTATAAATATATTGCAACTTTGAGTCAATTATTTTCATGTAATCCTTGTTTTACAAAAAATTAACACATGTTGCGAAAATATTGCAAATATTTTCTAAAAACTTTCCATTACAGTTTTTGATAAAGGATTTTTTTTGTATTGTTTCAAAGTTAGCATTCCTACCATTTTATGAACTCAAAAAGAGTATCAATTTCAGATTATTGGATGCTTTTTGTACTTTAAATAGTACCCAAAGCAATACATATGCTTTTTTCTTTTATTTCTTTTATTTCTTTGTAATTATTCTTGTATCTGATTTAAAGTAATTTTATTTGCATTACCTCATTTTACATTTTCCCATTTAACTTACAAAAGCACAATTCAGATTTATTAAAACTGAAGTTTTGACAGTATCATATTTTTCAAAGTACACAAATTTCAAATTGGTTTTGCAACAAAAACGAACAATGTTTATTAAAATCTAAAAACAGAATCTGTTCAATTATTATTGTTGTAGTTGTAAAGTACATTTCTTACAACAAAAAAAACTCACAACATATATCTATATATATATATATATATCTTAATTTCATTAAAGTGAAACTTATGATTAAAAAATTTATCTAGAAAAATTATTACTAAAAGAGAAATAATTATTAAAAATAAAATTTACAATTCAAAAAATAAGGTAAAAAATTTAGTCTCACGTAGTTGACTTTAATATGCAATTGAAACTTATGCTTCAATTATATGAGATTTAAAAAACATACATAGTTAAAATTAGGCCTGTAAAAACATGTTCTATATTATATCAAGTTCAAGATGAAAGATCTTTATAATATCAATAAATCATTACAGTTTTTAAAATGATTGAGATAATTATTTTTGATAATTTTTTATGAAGAATATTTAATCAATATGTCCTGTAGTCAAAGACAATAAATACATGATTCAAGAAATAAATTGAATTAAATTAACAAAAAAAATAAAATATATGAAATTTAAATTAATTTTTAAATTATATAATTAAATTAAAATTTTATGAAATTCAACTATAAAAAATGTGAAAAATTTGAGAAAATATATTTTTGAAACAAAAGAATAACAATATAAATATTAATTGACTTACTATCAAATCATTAAGAATTCAAGAGAATTAATAGCTTCTTCTAAGTTCTTATACAACATTATTCTATGGTCTAATAACATGAATTTTTAGTATATATACAATAACATATAATTTGACTAATAACATGTTGATACATAGCTTTTTTATTTACATGATGGATTGATACAATATAATAGATCATTAAACTATTCAATAATGTATAAACCATTAATCAACATAATTTTAAAGAAAATTTATAAACAATATATATATATATATATATATATATATTATAAAATATTAATATAATTTAACTTGGTAATTTTTATAATTTCTATTATCTAACAAGAATGTATAACTAATAATAAAATATTAAGTATTGATATTTTTTGTATAATTTTTATTACATTGTGAAAGATAATAATTTAAAGGATATAAATAAATAAGTAAGACATTTTTCAAAGAATAATAAAAATTATATATATTCAAGAAAAAATTGAAATGACTATTGCCAAAGACTAGGAAATTAGAAACTCTTAAAACTAGACTAAAAGTAACAAAAGGTTTGTCAAGAACAAAAAAAAATTCATTCTTGTTTTTATATTTTTACTCTCTAATTAGGAGCTATATAGTGATATTCTATAGGACCTCTAACATATGTCCAAATTGTAGGATATGTGTGTAATTTGTAAGACAAGTTTCCTTTATATGTGCCACATGTCCAACTTATTGACTTAGTTTTCAACCTAACAATCACATATACACATGTATAAAGATAAAGCCAAATCTGTGAAGCTTCTAAAAAAATTATCTATAAGATATTCTAAAATTTATTTGTTTTTATATACTTCAATTTACTCATATTATCTAAATAATTTTAAAAATAAATATACAAATCTAAAATATAATAAATTTTATTTACTAGATAATTTGATTTTTTTTTGCTTTGAAGGTAATTGATAGGTCATCTAAGCCATCAATAGAATCTCATATCATATCAAAGACAAGAACTTGATGAAAGTAAATAAACTAGTGAGACTTTTTCAAAGAAGTATAATAAAATAGAAATAAGGAAGTATGTATATTAAAAAGAAACTAGAATGACTATTATCAAAAGACAAGATAACTAGAGACTTCTTGAAACTAGACTAGAAGGAAGAAAGGAATTGACAAGAGTGAAGAAGACTTCACTCTTGCCTCTATATATACTATCTATCTAACAGCTATATGACAATATTCTATAGAACTTGTAAAATATCTTGACTTTGCATAATATATATCTTAACTTGCAAGACAAGTTTTTTATATAGTTACTTTATAATTAGATTATTTTATAAGCTACCAACAAGTGTGGCACATGGTTAGCTTGTTGACTAAGTTTCTAATCTACTAATCAATTACAAACACATGTAAAGTCAAAGCAATGTCTATAAAATCTCTACAAAGGATTTTAAGAAGATATTATGAAATTAATATATTTTTATCTATTTCTATCTATTTATATTATTTATATAATTATTATAGTAAATATATGTCTGTGACATTATTTTCCCTTCTCGAGAAAAATTTCATAAAGAATGGAAATTACATGTTGAAGAATTCCAAGATGCAGTAAGTTGTATTTGCCATATACTTTGATCTTTGTCTTCTCCAAAGGTAGTTGATAGGTTTTTTTGACCATCGATAATATCTCATTCTATGATAAAAAGACTACCTTGTTATTTAAGCATTGTTGAGACCTTTGTGACTTCCTTCAAACAAAACATTTGTAACACCATCAAGAGTCGTTTCTACCTCTAATAAAATCACCAAACATTAAGACTCTCTTTCTAAGTCATAATACCAAATGCATTGCATCCCACCATCTATTTAAAGAAGAATATGTCACTCTTAAAGGTCTTCATCTCTATTACATTGTCTTGAAGATTGTGATAATTGTAATATCTCATCTGATGAATTAGCAAATAATGGCTCTTCAATTGAATTTTTTGGTTGTTGATTCTCCATTTCTTTAATGCCATAATTATACAAAAACTACAAATAAAAATAAAATGCAATCTTTTCTAAACTATGTTTTTTTATAGCATAGATTTTATATCTTTTATCTTGATTTTGATGGATCTTGTTGATAAAAATCTTTGACCTTCCCTATTGCATTTATAAGATTTTTTTGTTGACTTCCATGTATATTTGCTAATATCATATCTGCATCAATAAATAAGATATTTTAACCTAAGTTGGCACTGCCTCGACTTTAAAACTTCTTCTATGTCAAATTCTTAATTATTACCCACTTTTATAGAAGGTACTATTATTTGTCTTCTTTTCAAAATATTCACTATCTTATATGGTTCTAAAAGAGATACATAAAATGTGGGATAGTTTTTCATAGACTCCGATAGATATAATTGATAAATTATTGGATTAACTTGTTTACAAATAGAAAATGGTCCAATTCTATGATAATTCAACTTCCTACAAAGGCGAATAGTTTTAATATTATAACAAAATAACCATATTTTATCTCAAATATGGAAATAAAGTTGTTGTTTGCAATAGGCATTCATGTTGTTTTTTTTGTTATTATTGAGTCTCTTTTAGACTCGCTTTTATTGTTCTATGTAACTCAAATAAATAATTTGCTAAATCTTCTATCATAGGATTATTAATTTTTGAAAAATCAAAAGCATGAAGTTATGGATGATAACCATAATTAGCAAAAAAAGGTGTTTATTTTATAAAAGAATGTACCATGTTATTATAAGCAAACTTTATTTATGGCAAAAGAGTTGTCCAATCATCTTATTGTTAGTTGATGGTGTATCTTAAATATTGCTCTAAAACTTAGAATACATTGTTGTGATGTAACACAACTAATAGGTGAAAGAGTGTGGAAATTATTATAATGTAGGAGATCTTAGTTCAAAGTATTAGAGTAAATTATCTTAGAAATATAGTTAATAGTCAAAAGAGTAGTAAAACTAAAAGGTACCAATGCTGCCTTTTTAGAA